CCTCCAGTAACTGCTGAGGTTACTGGAACACAAGGAACCCTTTGACTTTTTATGCGAGGGAGTACTGAGTCTGAACTCAGGTCCTCATGCTTGCTAAGGAAAGAAGGAAATGCTTTTTTTCCACCCACTGAGCAACCTTTTTTAAATTCTGATACATATATATGTGTCAAAATTTTAAAAACTAAATATATATATTTAATTTCATTTTATATTCCAACCATAGTTCTCCCGTCCCCCCATCTTCTCCCCAGTCCACACGGGAGAGATAGTTGTGTAGCTTGGTGTATCTCAGGGGTCCCTGGTGGGCCCGAGATTGATAGCTGATGCATGAGCTAGCTTTTTGAAGCCCATTCCCTATGGTGGGATGTCCTGCTCAGACTTGATGCAGAGGGGGAGAGGCTTGGTTCTGACCCACTTAGCAATCTTGCAAATCCTGTAGGTGATTATTTTTAACTCCAAATCTTCTTTTCAACAGTTATCAGATATTTTGGGCAAAAATAACCAAGATTTTTTTTTTTTTTTAAAAAAAAAAAAAAGACTAGATTGCAACATCACCAGAGTCTCAATCTGGACTCTTCCTGTGCTCCCTGGTCTTTGGGATCTCCATTAAAAAAATTTAGAGAGGACACACAGAACAAAGTAGAGAAGATAGGCTGAGTTCAAATGGGATAAAAGTAGAACACACTTGGTGTAATAGTGGATAATGGCCACAAATGTTAATAGCTTATGGCCACAGGGATGTTTTCTGTCCTGGTGATTAACAGGCCCATTGGAATTGACTTTAATGTGAGAGGTTAATAGTATAGCCTTGCTGTAACTAGAAACCCTTGAGCAAATAGTGACCTGATAAGGTTTAAATCCTTATCTATTAATGACTCTCCTAAAAGTTTAGAATGTCTGGCCACTTTGGGGCCAGAGTTGCAACTCAGTTCTTATTCTTTTGACTCTTAACCAGAGCTCTTAGTTCTAAGTTTGACAAGCTACATATCTTGAAAGAGGGGTTGATCTCCAATAACTTCCAAACTTAAATATATAACTAGATACTTAAAAATATTAGTTCTATTAATGCATTAGATATTAATTAAGAAACTGCAAAGTGTAATATATTATTTAGGCAATTGAGAGCAAAAATTATACAAAGCAAAACAAGAGCCACCCCACTTACTTCTTGAGTCTTCTAGTATATAAGCTCACCTGAATGCTCATTTAGTTGACTGCTGCATGAGCATAAGGTCTTGGCCAAGACAAGAGTAGACCTACTACTTATATACAATCACAATTTTCCCAGCATAAGTCTCCAGGCTGTAGTCTCTTTGGAGAAATGGATCTTAGGCCCTTCTTCATGTTTTAGCAAAATGCGTTACTACTTTTCACACAGTCACTGCAGCTTTAAGTCCCTGAAGTGATGTTTTCTGGTGATATTTTACAATGCTTTAAAGATGCTTTGATTGAATAACCTTTCTTAGTCAGACCGAAACATACAATTCAGATTATGACTACTTCCAGTCAGGATAAGGCTAGTCTAGATAAAATTTAATGCAGTAGTTGAGAAATATGGGATGGGTAGCAAGATCCCCAAACATAATAGAAATTTTATTATATTAATTTTAACACCTAGTTTGAATGTTAAACATGTTTATTTGTACATAATATAAGCTACCAGCTGTCTTGATTCAAGATAATTGTGGATTTAATAAATAACTGTACTATCTAAAATATGTATTTAACAAATATTGACAACATTCAGACCTTCTACTGATAGGCATACCATAAAAACTCCTAAGAACTATATACAACATTGTTTTGATATTCACATATAACTATTCTCTGACTTAGTAAACTAGAAAAAATTGTCTACTAATTTATAAAGCCTTATACCTAATAGTAGCTAAAATCTTAAATGGTTATAAATAGAAGCATAAATAATCTTTAAAAGCAGTCATTACAATGCATGTTGTAAAATTATACATAGTTCCTTTACATTTATCTTACAAAAACATTAACTCATTCAAGTTTAGATTAACATGATGTTGTTGTTGTAGTTTTGTTTTGTTTTGTTTTCCCGAGACAGGGTTTCTCTGTGGTTTTGGAGCCTGTCCTGGTACTAGCTCTTATAGACCAGGCTGGTATCGAACTCACAGAGATTCACCTGTCTCTGCCTACCGAGTGCTGGGATTAAAGGCATGCGCCACCACCGCCTGGTTTAACATGATGTTTTTGAAAGTTATTGTGGGGCTGTGGGATCTATCTGCCTATCTTTGTTCCTGAAAATAAGTGAGACAAGATTCCACTCAGGGGTGAGTGAGAAAACAAAAACTGAAGTTAAGATGGTAAAGAAAACTCATGACAAATATGACATTAGGAGAATGCTTAACTGTAACTTCTCACTTGGTATTTTTTCTATCTTGAGAAATTTACTAAGGAATAATGTTCTCTACCCCTGGTGGGTAATTCTGTTGGAGATTCTCTAATGAATGTTTCTTGCATATTAACAATGATATATGTCAAGACTCATCAAAGTATTTTCAAAATGATTCACCCTTTCAGCTGTCAGTCATCTTAGAGGAAGATGCAAGGTGAAAATAATTGTTTATTAGATTTAAGGCATGAGAACTTAGAAAATGAAATTTCAAGGACATTCTTTTTTAAATAATCTATGACCCCTGTAACAGGAAGTTGAACAGACAAATATGTAGGACTACCACCCAGTAAGCATAATTAAGTTATAAAATCTGGGAGTAGCCCTGTCTAGTTTCGAGTTCCAACCATTTCTTTAAAAACTGTGTGTTTGTGTGTATGTGTGTATGTGTGTGTGTGTTTATGTATATATATGCTATCTTAAGTACAAAATATAATTCTTATATTTGTCTTGGAGACTTGGAGCCATGAGCCTGCTCTTGATTGCTGGATAATAGAAGGACTTACATATCTTTAGCTGGTTCAATTAGTGCGACTGTCAATAACTACCTTACATGGATGGTTTCAAGTAGATGTGTGTGGTGATTCTCCACAGGAAAAGTCTCATCACACAACACAAAGTATTTGTCTTCCTGTGATGGCTTAATTCTAATGAGACATGAGACATGAGGTTGTGAGATCCACAGCTTTATTGAAAACATTGTTGCCACACTCACCTAAGACTGGCATAGGTGGGAAGGTGACAAGATGATAAGGGAAGTGAGGTAACTGGGCTAGCTGACGACTAGTGACCCATAGAACCTTGTTAAACATGTAAGCATTCATGGGTTACATGGGGTCACGTGGAATAAAGAAAAAATATCTGAATACCTTTTGAAAGCTGTACCTGGTAGTATCTGCTAGTATTCTTGGCACTGCAAAAGTTTAAACAGAAGTATTGTGAGTTTGAAGTCAGCCTGGGTCACATACATTGAGTCCTTGTCTCAAAAAATCTAAAGGAAAAAAGAGAGAATTGTTGAAGTCATACAGAGTAAAATTTCAAGTAACTGTCTGAAGAAACATTAACCCAGAGAAGATATAATTATACAAAGTCACTGGAGATTCAGACAAAAAGATGATTTATAGTGTGAGAATCTCATAAAATGCTTATTTTATTGTTAATTAATAGATTTGTAAATCAACACTAAAACAGAAATGTACATATTTATGGAGTAACATGTAAAGTTTTAATATATCACTATATTATATATAATATATAGTATGTTAAATCAGCTTAAACACGTTCTGTTTATTTCTCTTCTTATGATAAATCCTTTCTTCTAACTCTTTTGAAATATGGAGTATATTCCTGTTATACTGTGCCTATAAGAATGGTACAACAAAATATTTACTTTTGGGAACTCTAACCTGATGCCCCCTGGTCTATCTTTTCCAAACTCTAATAGTCACTTTCTATTTTCAGTTAGTATTTTGAAAAGCATTAATAGATGAGATTGTTTCGTGTTGTGTAACAATTTATACCAAGATTGAAACATAACATTCTGCAGAGACGCTCCTTAAGTAGGAATGTAAACAAATGTAATCAACTCAAAAGAACCTCAGGAAGTCCCTGAAACAGACCAGATTCTCTATGTTCCTCTGTCCCAGAGTGAACATGCTTCAAAGACTCTCAGATAAGTCAAACTCCAAAGAAAATTTGGAGACCAGACCCAGCCAGAGTGCCTAAAAGAGGTTTAGGTCAGAGTTAACGTGGAAAGGACCCTCTACAGCCTGTTGAACTGCTAGCAGGCTGTATAGTCGGCTCTATCTAGGTTTCCACCTTTTATGAGTTAGCACTCCTGCTGGAGTGAGATTTGATGATCAGCTAGCTGAGTTTTTTCAACACCTGCAAATAACCCCTTACCCATAATCCTGTAAGTACCCAACAAAATTCATGAGTTCACCAAATTGGGCTTTGGTGGTATCCATACTTTGCAATGGGGTCCCTATCTGGGGTATGAAATAGCTCAAGTAATTCAGTCTTGTCCTGACTCTCATTTTGTGTCGGCTGGATACTTTGCAGTTTTTCCTACCCTGAATGGCCACACCTGACTTAGCAATGCTTTTGGGACTGGTCATGATCCTGAATTAACCAGAATGTTGGTGCAAGCTAAAACCCAAAACTAAAATAATTACGAGAAACTGTAAATCAGAAGTCATTGTCTTATGGTGTCTGGGGGGAAAAATGTCATTAAGCTCTGCAAAACTACAGATTTTGCTTCAATCCCCTCCCCCATTCCACCCCCCCCCATTACTGATATAACTATGGTTTTGTCTTTTAAAATGGTGTATGTCTGAGTTTCAACACCAAGAGACTTGGAGCCATGAGCCTGCTCTTGATTGCTGGATAATAGAAGGACTTACATATCTTTAGCTGGTTCAATTAGTGCGACTGTCAATAACTACCTTACATGGATGGTTTCAAGTAGATGTGTGTGGTGATTCTCCACAGGAAAAGTCTCATCACACAACACAAAGTATTTGTCTTCCTGTGATGGCTTAATTCTAATGATTTCCCATTTCATCCATGTTTTTGCACTCACTTTATGGCTTAGTAGTATTCCATTTAGTATATGTACAACATTTCCTTGATCTTTTCATCAGGGACAGGTACATGCCTCCATTCTTGACCACTGTAAATGCTGCTACAGTAAACATGGGAGTGCAGATATTATGTTAATACATCGATTTCATTTTAGATATCCTAGGGTGGAATTGCTTTATCATTGGTAGTTCTTCTAACTATTTGAAAATTTTCATAAAATTTTTAGAGGAATCTTAAATTTAAAATATACTTCTATGATAAAATTTCCATTAGCTGAATTCACATTACTCATTGCATTGCATGACACTAAATGACTGTGCTGTATACAGAGCATATGGATCAAGTGAACTTGAAAGGAATTAGAGAAATGGATGACCAAATATTTAGCTTAAACTTCTAAAATTAGTAAATTGAAACAATTGTACACTGCTACAACTATTTTTACAAATTTTAGAACAATTTATTTTTGCTGGCAAGGGTCATTGCCTTTTACTGTTTTCCTAAATTTATCTTTAAACTAATTACAGAAAAATCACAGAAATTATATGCATTAGTGGAGTACTGTGTTTTCCCTATATGTATATGCAGTGTGGTGCTTAAATGAGGTTAAATGTTTCTACACTCTCAAGTATTAATAGTGGCTTTTTTGATGAAAACTGGCCAAGCACTTCTGTGTGAATTTTTCTTCGGGAGACAAACAAGGCCATTTTCTCCAAACAGAAAACCAATAAAAGATTAAAGAAATTATTCAATTCAAGTCTTGGGAAACCGATGCATTTAATTAGTGTTATTTACATGACCATGGACAACTTAAGTGGCAACATCATTGGAGAAATGTCATATTAGTAAATACTCCAATTGTCATCAGAGAGTCTTCATCCAGTAACTGACAGAAACAGATGCAGAGACCCACAGCCAAACATTGGGCCGAGCTCTGGGCTTTATCTAGTCATAAAAAGTATTTTTAAAGTTAAATTTATAAGTCCACACAGTTCAAAAGATGAATTAAAAAGTAAATGTGAGTATAATAACTTTAAATATTACTATAATTAAAGGTTTTACTACTGTCTCACAGTATTATTGTTATTTGTAAATGACCACAATTTTAATATTTGATAAATAAAATTTGTCAAAGCATATCCAGTTCTCTGTAATTGATAGATGAATCAATAATTTCCAAAATGACCTGTAAAATTATCATGTTATTTGTAGACTCTTTTATAGTGTAGGCATTACATTATATTACAGTTTATATTATTACATGTATATGAGATTAGACATGAGCTATAACATTAGGTAATTTATGTCCCAGTCAAAATGAAAATGTATTTTGGACAAGTAGTAAGGACTCCAGGTTTGAAAGAATCCAGAAATATTAAATGTTATTTAAAAACTTTATTTTTACTAGATAGATGTTAATATAGTTATAAGTTAGTAGAGATGATAAAACAACATCATTATTCAAGAGAAGTTGTCAGGAAGACACTGAAAGAAATGGAATGAACAAGAATAAGTCGTAAGCGGTTGGTGTTGCACGAGTAAACTGTCCTTCTTTTTCTATGATTTTATCAGTCTAAGAAAACATATTCAACATTTACCCCTATTGGAAGCCAGGCCTAATTAATTTATTCTTTAATAAATAAGTGATTTAGTATTTTTCTAAATTTTATTTTACATTTCAATCACAGTTCTCCCTCCCACTCCTGCTACCACCTGCCCCCTCACTTCCCTCCCAGTCCACCTCCCATCCACTCCTCCCATAGGGTAAGGCCTCCCATGAGGAATCAACAAAGTCTGACACATTAAGTTAAGACAGGACCAAACCCCTCCCCCCTGTATTAAGGCTGAGCTTGGCATCCAACCATAGGGAATGGGCTCCAAAACTCAAGCTACACAATGGTCCCCCACATGCAGACCTAGTTTAGTCCTAATGAGGCGCCACAGCTGGTGGTCCAGAGTTCATGCGTTCCCACAAACTTGATTCAGCTGTCTCTGTGGAGTTCTCCATCATGATCTTGACATTGGTTACTATATATTCCCCTCTTCCCTCTCCTCACCTTCATTCCTGGAGTTCGGTCTGATGCTTGGTTGTGGATCTGTTCATCTGGTTTCATCAGTTACTGGATGAAGGCCTATGATATCAGTTAGGTATTCATCAGTCTGATTATAGGGGAAGCCAGTTCAGCCACCCTCCCCACTATCGCTAGGTGTCTTAGGTGGGGTCATCCTTGTGGGTTCTTGAGAATTTCCCTATCAGCCATGCTTAACTGATGAAAGCTTGAAGCAGGCATTTATGTTGCCTGGGCAAGACTGCCATCTAGTGACAGAGCAGTGCAAATGCAGAATATGGTATTTTACAAAGTAAAACAACTAATGACCTGAAAAGGAACAAATAAGAGGATAAATCCAAACTAGGACCTGAAAAGGAAAGTCATCCACACACAGTAAAAACTCAACAAAGTAGATGAGAGAATTAACGCAGATGAAGAAAAAGTCAGGAAGGAAACAGATTTTCAGGGGGAAAAATACAGAAATGTTGTAGGTAAAATCTCAAATAAAAACAAAATTGGAAAGTATCACCACTAGACTCAACAAAGAGTGAGAACAATACTAAGAATGGATCACAAGGTTATGAAATACAATATTCAAATATCAATGTTGGAAGGTGGGATGGCCACAAAATCCCGAAACCTTAATAAATGGTCAAGACACTAAACCTAAACATCTACAGTACAAAAGGGTCTGAGGTAAAACTAAATGCAGAGAGAAACTATTGAATGAATTATAGTGGAAAATGACACAAATCTAGGATAAGAAATGAATATCCAGGGATGAGGCACTTACAACACGAACAAGCATGACCAGGGTTTTAGTTAGTTTTCTTTTTAGTGTGATAAAAATACCCTGACAAAGCCCCAGCTTAATGAGATTGGGAGAGAAGTCTTAGCAGGTAAAATAACTTAATACTCCTGAAGATGATAGGGCTCAGCTTCCAGCTCCCACGTTGGTGTACTGACTGTAACTTCAGTTCTAGGTGTTCAAACACCATCTTCTAGCCTCCAAAAGTGCATATGGTGCAAATACAGACAAACACACAAATATGGACATAAATAGGAACTTAAAAATAATAAATATAAATATTGCTTAATAGAGTATTTCTTTTGGCTCAGTTTAAAGTACATCATTTAGAGGAAGTCAAGACTGCAGGAACCTGAGGGAGCTGCATCCACAATCAAGACACAGACTGCAAGGAATATTTGTGCTTAGCTCAGCTTTTCAACAGTCCAGCATACCATACAGGGGATGGTGTCAGCCCCAGCGGGTGGATTCCCCAAGTCAACAATTCTAATCAAGGAAACCCTACAGGCTTACCCAGAAGCTACTTTAACGAAGGTAATCTCTCACAGGTATACAGGGAAACTGGCCTCCTAGCTTGTACAAATCTTTTCAAGTTGATGATTAACACTAGCCATAAGAACCAGAAACTACTCTCTTTTGGGAATATATCAGTCAAGATGTTATAAATATGTAATCAAGCACAAAGTTAGACACTTCAATGACATCAGGTCTCTCAGCTGAAAATTACAAAGCTAGGAAAGACGGAACAGTGCGTTTTAAGTCTTGGCAGTAGATAATTAGCAAGAAATACTGCTATTTTAGCAGAGCTGTATTTTAAAACTGGTGGAAAAATAAGGTCATTTCAAGGAAAGCACAAGCTTGGGCAGTTCATAGCCACCATGCAAGTACTACACAAGATAATAAAGGGATATTCTACACAGATAAGAAAAACAGTATGAAGTACAAGAAAGAAGAAATTTCAAAAGAGAAATATATGATCAAAATCATGCAAGGGACATCTAACAAAATTTTATCTATTAGTAAATATCTTTTAACAACAGCATTAAATGTAAGTAGCCTCAAAATTCACCACTTCAGAGACTCATACTGACTGACAGGATTGAAAAACTAAATCCGATTATCTCTTGTCTCCAGAAAACATAGCTCAATGCCAAAAACACCCACAGATTTAGAGTTAACAGCTGTAAGACAGTCTGTTAATAAAATGCAATCTATTCTGATGAATATGGTAAGTAGTTTTGAAATCAAATGTTAGTCATAACAACGCATCAAGCAGGTATAACCATTGTAAATTACTAGATGCTGAGATGGTTAATAATGATTGTCAATTTGAGATGATGTGGAGTCATGTAAGAACAAAACCATAGGGCATTCCTGCTAGGGATTATTTACGATAGTTTAACTGAGATAAGAAGACTTAACAGAACAACCAGATAAATACAAATGAGAAAGGAAACTGGCTTAGTTTTAATTTTTAATGTTGTGAAGGGACACCATGACCATGGCAACTCTTATAAAGGAAAGCATTTAGTTGGGACTGGTTTACAGTTCAGAATTTAGTCCAGTATCGTCATAGTGAGAAGCATGGTGGCATGCAGGCAGACACGGCTGTTTTACATCTGGATCCACAGGCAGCAGGATGAGACGGTGAGCCACTAGACCTGGCTTGGACTTCTGAAACTTTATTTCCTCAGAATTAAAACAGTCTTGTCTAGAGGAAGGTCAGTTTTGATTCAAAAGGTAAAAAAAAATCTTAGTAAGCTCTAGAACTTACAAAATCACTTAGGATCTTCCCAAGGCTATATAAGCAGTAACAACTGTTAGTGAGAGGAGACTCGAGAAGAGACTCTTGACCAGTGGGGCTGTGTGCAAGTCACGAAGGGAGCTCTGAGGATGTAGTTTGTGGCCCTCTGGCTGCTCATACTAAGATGGGTTCTTCATTGAGAGAGTAACCTTAAGATCACCCATGCATCTGTCAATCATCAACCAACCAACAAGCTGTAACCTTTGGCTCTTAGTACTGGCTTACAAGTGTAAGAAAGAACCAAACTGGGGTGTTTTAAACAAAATTTCCATCTTGAAAAGCAGAGGGAAACAAAGTTTAAGGTGCCAAGACCACCCTGCCCCCAGACCTTCCTGGGTAACTGACATCAATGACATCCTGGTTGGCAAGCTGAGACATGGGCAAGTCACTGTGCCCCATTTGAGTAAACCAACCAATGATGGCAAGAAAAGTATACCACAAGCATATGTTCCTAGGAAAGCCCCTAATGTTTGAATCTTGATTGACAGAAAAATGTAACTGTAACTTAGCACAGTTGTGCGTTTTGTGTGTAAATACTTGCTGCCATGAATGTTCAGGGATGCGGTCAGTTCCTGAGTCTGTTTTGTTGTCCCTCGGACCCCACAGCAGAAGTAGTGTGAAGAAAAGCCAGTTTGTCTTCCACTTGGCTATGGTCCTATTCTAATCTTCACTCATTTACAGGATAGATTTAGCTCTGCTTCAACAACAACAAAAAAAAAATCAAAACTTTTAAGGTGTACTTTAAAGAAATGTGGTACAAAGCTATGGTGGAGTAAACTGTAAATTTTTGCTTAAGTAACTCAAATGACTGTACCAAAAAGTATTTTCTAAAGTCATAAACTTTAGTTTGGCAAGTGTGGTGGCTATTTCTTTCTTGTCAACTTGACTATATCTATAATTAACTAAAACCCCAAAATGGATTGCACACCTGTGGGAAATTTTTGCTTTATTTGAAGTTAGAAGATCTACTCCTAATCGAGATCTTTGAGGTAAGAAGACACACCTTTAATCCAGACATTTTGAGACAGGAAAATCCACCTCTAATGTAGGCCATGCCTTCTGCTAGAAGCCTGTATATTCTATAGTATATAATACAGTGCATAGGGACATGGAAGAAGGCAGCTTTTGTTCTTTGCCTCATTGCTTTCATCTCACTAGAAAGCCCATTCCTTCAATGGTATTAAAGCCTGCTTCTTTGGGATTTCATCATATACTGAAGACCAGCTGAGATGTCCAGTCTAGAAGACTGAACAATACTGGATTTTTAAACCTTCCGTTTATAGGCAGTCACTGTTGGGTTGCTGGACCACAGACTAAAAGTCATTCTCATAAACCCCCCCCCCACACACACACATTCATTTTATGAGTTTTATTACTCTAAAGAACCCTGACTAACAGATTTTGGCACCAGGGGTGGTTTTAGAGGAATAGAAGTATAAGGAGGAATCTTTTAAGTATCTGGAATAGGCTTTTCAATTTGCCAATATCTAATGTTACCAAAGCTTCTCAGTTACTGAAGAAGTACTAAAAGCCCAAGGTGTGAGCTATTTTATGAACTTAAGGAGATGCATGCATTTGGTTATCCTCATCAATTGTCATAGATTTGGTGACTCTGTTTATAAAACTTTTGACAGCTTGTGGAAAAACAAGAAAAATAATGATGCTGGCTAGGTGCTTTTAGCGTCTTTGGATACATTAACACAGGAAAGGAATGAACTCATGATAAAAATTAATCAACTTCTAGCATCTCAAAATGCAGTGAAGAACAACAATGAACTTAGTGATAATATTGAGCATTTCCAGATGTGCACAAACAGTCTAAAGCTTTCCAACTGTGTCCTTAAAGAGATCTCTCCAGCAGCCACAGGGGTCAAGTGGTGGAAAATCAAACTGAAGCCCTCATTAGAAGCTGACTGAATTACAATGAAAAATTCAAGCCTTATCCTTGGAAGGTGATGGCAGTTAAAGTAAGGACACTAATTGTTAAAGACCAGGATATTGTAACTTGTGATGTGATGTGTGGGAGGACCCAAATGAAGCTGAGAACTTTGAACCCTCCAGTTCTCAAGGGTTTTATCTCCTAAGGAAGTGGTCGTTCTAGCCTCCACAGAGGAAGAACTCACATAGCCGCCCCCTGAAATACTGCCCTTTTCACTTTTGACTGAGAAAAATTAATCCTTCATCATCTGTGAAACCAGCAGTAACTTTCTCCGAAGGAAATGCCAGGCAAGACAATACTGATGTCCCTCGGGGTCTACCAATAGTTTTCTCCAGATGTATAACCAGATTTAAGGCAAAGCAGGCTCCTAGGTGGAAGAAGAAAGTGTAGATCAAGAAGGGTGCTATATTACTAAAGAGCTTAATTAGTTTACCAATTCATTCAAACAGAAGTCTAGGGAATATATGTGGAAATGGATTTTAAAAGTGTGTGATAATAGTAGAAAGAACCTAAAACAAGATCAGGATGTATTTTTCTAGAAGAATTTCTTTCTGGGGTCTGCTGGGTTCTGAATTCTGGGGGATCTTAAAAATCACCATGGCTCTCAAGCTAAAGTAGGGGTTTATGGAGATTAGGTGATTAATGTAACTTTGGTTGATGTTTGATTCAAAGTATGTCCAGTGGGTCCCTGAGCTCATCCTGTGGTTATTTCCCCAGTCTCAGAATGTGTAATTATGATAGAAATACTTAAAAGCTGGATGAATTATGATATTGGTTCCCTGACCCATGGAATGAGGAAAAGGCTAAAGGGAAACATGTAGAGTTGCTCCTGCAAAAGAAACTGGTGAATCAAAACCAGCATCGCACCTGTGGGAGGTCTGCAGAAATGAGAGCCACCATCAAGGACTTGAAAGATGCAGCGGTGGTTGTTTCTACCACATCTCCTTTTAACTCTCCTATCTGGTCAGTGCAGAAGATGGATGGCTGGTAGAGAATGACTATCAAAAATGCCATCAGGTAGTCATCCCAACTGTAGGTGCTGCATAAGATGTGATATCTCTACTTGAGGAGATTAATACATATGCATTTCCTGTTCTACCAAATGCCCTTTTCTTCAGTACCTGTCATAGCACTACCAGAAGCAATTTGATTTCAGTTGTCAAGGCCTGCGGTATAACTCAAGGATGTATTAACTCTCCAGCCCTATATTATAACTTAGTTACAAAGGATCTTGCTCATATGTCTTCTCCACAAAATATCTCACTGATGCATTATACTTATGGCACTATGCTGATTGGATCAAATGAGCAGTAAGTAGATAGAAATCAAACATGAACTCATTGGTAACACAAATGTACATCAGATGTGAAATAAATCCAAGCAAAATTCACTAACTTTCTACCTCAGTTAATGGCTTAAGAGTCCAATGGTATGGGACATTCAAAGATATTCCTTCTAAGGTCATGGATAGATTCACCTGGTCCTTCCCACCACCAAGACAGAAGCACTACATTTACTTAGATTCTGGAGATGGCACATTCCCTCCTTGAATGTATTACTCCAGCCTATATATCAAATGATTTGGAAAGCTATTAGCTTTGTGTGGTATCTGGAACAGGAGAAGACTCTTTAAGAGGTCCAGGTTTCCGTGCAGGCTGCTTTACCTCTTGGACCAGTTCCAGTAGATGTAATGGTACTTGTGGTGTCAGTGGCAAATAGGGATGCTATTTGGCATACGCTTGGCAGCCCCCTATAGGTGAATCACAGAAGAGACCTTTGGAAATTTGGAGCAAGGCTCTACCATCATCTGCAACTATTCTTCAAAAGATAGCTCAGCCTATTATTGGGCCTATTCAGTAGAAACAGAATGTTTGATAATGAGCTACCAAGTCACCATGTAACCTGAGCTACCCATCATGAGCTGGGAGTTTTCTCCCAAGCCATAAAGTAGAACAAGTCCGGCATCAATCTATTATCAAATGGAAGTGATATACATGATCAGGCTAAGCAGGTCCTGAGGCACAAGATAGTTAAAATGTTGTCCAAATGCCTATAGTTTCTACTTTAGTTACTGTGGTAGTTTGGATGTATTTGACACCCATAATATCATGGGAAGTGGCACTATTAGGAGGTATGGCTTTGTTGGAGCAGGTGTGGTCTTGATGGAGGAAGTATGTCACTGTTGGGGTGGGCTTAAGGTTTCCTATGTTCAGGATACAACAGTTGACTTCCTGTTGCCTGCAAGATGTAGGCCTCCCAGCTACTTCTCCAGCACCATGTCTGCTGGCACAACATCATGTTGCCCACCATGAATGCCTGAACTGTAAGCCACAACCTCGATCAAATGTTTTCCTTTATATGAGTTGCTGTGATCATGGTGTCTGTTCACAGCAATAGAAACATTTACAACATAGTTGGTTGCCAAACATGTATCTATAGCCTCATTGGGTGTGCCATATGATCAGTTGACTGAGGAAGAGCAGACTAGGGAATGGTTTACTGATGTTTTTTTTTTTGTTTTTGTTTTGTTTTTTTGTTTTTTGAGACAGGGTTTCTCTGTGGTTTTGGAGCCTGTCCTGGAACTAGCTCTTGTAGACCAGGCTGGTCTCGAAGTCATTTACTGATGTTTTTGCACATTATGTAGGCACCACTCAAAGTGGACAGAGGCAGCATTACAAGCTTTATCTGGGATAACCCTGAGAAACACCAGTAAAGGGAAATGTTCACAGTGGGCAGAATTTTAGGTTGTATACATATTCATGCATGTTGTTTAGAAGGAGAAATGGCCAGAAGTGTGACTGTTCACTAATTCTTGGGTTGTAGCCAATGGATTGGCTGGATGATGAGGGACTTGGAAAGAACATCATTAGAAAATTGGTGAGAAAGACATCTGGTGAAGAAGTATGTGGATAGATCTCTCCAAATGGGTGAAGGCTGTAAAGAAACCTGTGTCCTATGTAAATGCTCATCTAAAGCAGGCTTCAGCTGAAGACGTGTTCAATAAAAAAGTCAATTATTTGTTTAAATAAAATGTGTTTTAAGATGTGAAGCTTAAGGTATGAGGATTGAAGAATGTTTCAGGGTATAAGAAAGTGACATAATCTGTGCAAACGCATGTTATGAGATTTCTCTCTCTCATTATGCTACTGTTCATAGACTTAATATTAATCAGCAAAGTTCTAATAAGCTATTAACCCAACTCTGACAGCATACTAAACACCATACTATACCACTGTCATTACAGCCACAAGCTCAAAATTTCAAATTCTTTTTGGTTATTTTCTAACTGTAGACTTAAAAGGTGCTTTTCATTGTGCTAAAAAATATCTGTCACAGTGTTCTAGATGGATAGGAGAGTGTGAATGCTTTCAACCAAAATCATTCCCAACATGAGTATTCTGCTGTTTCTACAATGCAAATTTCAGAAGAGATTATAAATAGTGGAAATGCTAATAATATGTCAAAAACTTAGGTTTTCACAAACTCAAAACATTCTTGTAAGCTCCAAGAAGTTTAATTGGACCCAAATAAACAGATCAGATTCACTCAAGATAAGTATCATTCAACTTTTCCCTGATCTTGGGACCCCTAATCCTCAACACTCCCCTTTGCTCACCAGACTTAAGTAAAAAATTTTCCCTACCTTAACCTTATCCTGTGCTTTACCAACACTTTGTCAGGTCCAAGAGGCACCAGACGGTTCCACATAGCCTAGACAGTGAAGTGAAACAACTAGAAACTGCAGGACGTGACCAGCATCCCAGCCTTCTCAGGTCCCCCAAAGAAGTTCAATGCCACAGATTCGCCAGAAGTCTTGAGAACCTGGATCCCCTTTAGTCTCCACAACTTTTCATAGTAAGAAAAAGATGAGAATGTTGGGACTCAGGCACTATGCTGGCTTGCTCTGTCCTCCGGCAGGATGCACTTAGGCAGGACCCTGACCAGCCCACGGTCCTATGGCTGCTACATCACTACATAGCCTGTATGGAGGTGCAAGGTGAAAAGTTCCCTTTAAGAGATAAGCTCCGGCCATTCCTGTTCTCTTTTCTGCTATTCATCTGAAGGGGCAGGCAGGACTTTTCCTGTCTCTTCTTCTCTTTCACTCTGTCTCTCTCTTCTCTTTCCCCTCTCCCTTCCCTTTCCCCACTCCCTTTATCTCAATAAAACTTCCCACTTAAGTTGTTTCTGACTGGCCGTGTTTGTCCCTTACCTGTTTTGGGGCTTCTGCAGGGGTCCCACCTGTGCCATTTTACAACTACCATGGTGAAACTGAATTGCTTCTACACAATGGAGGTAAGAAAGTTCATGTCAGCCAGGCGGTGGTGGCACACGCCTTTAATCCCAGCAATCGGGAGGCAGAGGCAGGCGGATCTCTGTGAGTTCGAGACCAGCCTGGTCTACAAGAGCTAGTTCCAGGACAGGCTCCAAAACCACAGAGAAACCCTGTCTTGAAAAACCAAAAAAAAAAAAAAAAAAAAAAAAAAAAAAAGAAAGTTCATGTCTGGAGTGCAGGAGATCCTTTAGAGTTTCTCTTGGTGCTACCATGTCCTGTGATTTAAAGTAAGTGAGACATTACAACAGTCTATCCCAGGCGGGCTGACAAAGGGCACACAGCCATCAGGAATTAAGGAATGGGCAACTCCTCCACGAAAAGTGCCAAGACATGAGGTGCTTGTCAACAGTGGAAGGAATACAGAATGGACAGTAAAGTAGTTATAAACACCTGCTAAGGCCACATACCAGTTGCAGAGATTAAAATTGACATGAGGTTTTCTTATTTTTGTTAAGTATGTGTGTGAAAGGTCTTTATGCTTTCTTTCCTCAACTTACCATGTGATATCAATTAAGAGAATATTAATGGTTATATAATTTTTAAGTTTGAGCTACTAAAGAAATGCCCCTCAAGGGACATTGCCACCTATTTTAAATTTACAATGTGCTGTGGAGGTATAGGTATACCACGTTAGGTGTAATTTTGACCTGGTTAAATATGAAATGCCTTTGTGATGGTACACGGGCTAGTTGTATCATGTTTGGGTGTTATTATGACCTGGCTATTGTTTTCATTTGGCAATTAATCATTACATGAGATATGATTGTGCGTGAAGTTGACAAGGAGTGCACTTGTGATAGCTATTCTTAGTAGTCAATTTGGCTACATCTGGAATTAAAACAAAAAGACAGCACAGCTGTGAAGCATTTTTGATTAATTTTAAGTGGAAAGAGCTACTTCTAATCTGGATCTTTGAGGTAGAAAAACACACTTTTAATAGAGATCTTGAGGCAAGAGAACACACCTTTAATTCATATCTAATCTAGGCCACACCTTCTGCTGGAAAGCTATATAAACACGTGGAAGAAGGAAGCCTCTGCTCTTTGTCACGACATTCCAGTCTTTCCCCACCTAGTGTCACCAGGCCTGCAGGCCTGTGTGGAAGCGAAATTGTGAGTTTCTCTTCCTCAGAATGGGGTTTATGAAAGTTGGCAAGAATAAGGGCTACATTAAGAGAAATTACGTGAGATTCAGAAGGCAATGAGAGGGTAAAACTGACTCCTATGCTCACAAACGACTGGTGATCCAGGACAAAAATAAGTACAATTCACTCAAACACAGGGTGAAAGTTTGAGTTAACTAACAGAGATATCATCTGCCAGATGTGTTTGTCTGTAGAAGGGGATATGATAGTCTGCACAGAACGGCCAAAATACAGCGTAAAACTTGGCCTGACAAATTATGCTGCAGTCTATTGTACTGGCCTGAGGCTGTTCAGAAGGCTTCTTAATAGGTTTGACGTGGACAAGATCTATGAAAACCAAATTGAGATGAATACCACGTGGAAAGCATTAATGGTAAGCCTGGTGCCTTCACGTGCTATTCGGATGTAGGTATTGCCTGAACCACAACTGGCAATAAAGTTTTTGTGGCTACCTGTTTTTCACCACTTCCAAATTCTAGAACACAGTCTGCGTCTCCAGAGAGTTAGTTCCCTCCGCCAGCCACACTTTTTTTCCTGAAAACCTGCATTACGTTCTCAGCAACAGCCGGTACACGGTTCCGTCAGTACTCGGTCCTGGGGGCTGCAGCCCCTTTTCTTTCACATGACGGAGGTTCCTCTTCTTCGATTAGACCTGTGGCCTCCTAATGGCGTCTCTTTCGCCCCTGTTTGATGACAATGACTCATTGAATTTGAACAGCGGCTCTAACTACTCTCCCCGCAACCGGGCGGCAACCCAGAAGAGAAGCGAAGGTGGCCGGGAAACCGTTCTCGCGAGAAGACGACCAATTCTCGCGGTATCTCCCGGGTTCCGGACTCCTTAGCGCGAAGCGGAACCTTTCTGCAGCTCAGCCTCCGCGGACGCCGCCGTTTGGACGGAAGCTCCCGCGGGGTGACCCTCATCCGGCCGCTGCTTCGCGGAAGATGGCGGGGCCCGAGCCGCCGCTGCCGCGAGGAGGCCCAGGCTCCGCTTCGCTCTCCCCGCCCCGGGGAGACCGCACCCTCCTCGTCAGGCACCTGCCGGCCGAGCTGACGGCCGAGGAGAAGGAGGACTTGCTGAAGTACTTCGGGGCGCAGTCGGTGCGCGTCCTGTCCGACAAGGGCCGTCTGGTAAGCGGGGGTTGGCAGGGGAGGAGGGCCGGGCCTGGGTGAAGGCGATCTGCGCGTGCGCGGCGTCCCTGGTTGTGCTGTGATCATGGCCTTGGAGCAGACGGCGGCTACTGCCCAGCCGCTGCCCGACCCAGTGCCCCTTTCAGTGCCGTTTGTGCACCCACCCCCAGACGTGAACATATTTCTGTTCGAGGGTTATAGACGTCTGAAAAAGGATTCTTTGAAAACTCGCGTTTGTAGAGCAGGGACTACGATGTTTTCGGAAAAGCGAGTGAGCTAGGTGTCGCATGTTTTTGACAGAAAACATCCCCCAAGGTAACGGTATTTTGAAAGTTGAAAGTCCTTGATTAGGTATTTTTTTTTCTTGATGCGGGTGTTTGATTTTTCTACGTTTTTAAAAGGGCAGTGGTGAACACCTTTAACCCCAGCACTCGGGAGGCTGAGGCAGGAAGATCTATGTGAGTTTGAGGCCAGCCTGGTCTACAAGAGCTAGTTCCAGGACAGGCTTCAAAGTTACAGAGAAACCCTGTCTGGAAAAACCAAATAAACAACAACAACAACAACAACAAAAGATAATAGCCTGTGATGGAGCCAGACAGGTTTTAAAGTTTTAGGAGACTTTGATTGTGTACTCAAAATTGAAAATTGCTGATTTACAAGAAAGACCTCGATATTTGAGCATTTACAGTGTTGTGAATTCTAACAAATGGAAATAAGAATATTCTCTGGCTCAGTCTAAATATACTAAGACCATTTCATTTTATTTCAGAAACATACAGCATTTGCTACTTTCCCTAATGAAAAAGCAGCAGTAAAGGTATGCATTTTTCTTTATTACTAAAGCTTTTGGAGATTTCTTTTCCCTTCTTAGAACAGAGTGGAAGGTAATAGTAAACTGTCATTTTCAGAAGCAAAATCATTTGTGTTCCAAGACTTTCCCCAAAAGGCTACAGTTGACTTGGCAGATGTTAAAGCTTGTCCAGTGATTAGATACTGAGATATAAGAATCATAGATTATTAAGCAAGGTAAGGATAACGTCATGTATAATTTTTTAAAAAATTCGAAAGGATATTAGCTAGATAATTATTTGTAATGTTTATGGTACTTTTTTAATATTAAAAGGTATAAATCTAAGGAATCATTTGTAAAGCTGTCACCTTTGAGCTAGGCCTCGGATGAGTCATTAAATTTCGAGAAGAAAACAAATTGTTATTTCGGGTTTAGAAAATAGTAAAATTGGGCATGGAATGGTATAAGTCAGCCAGGCTCTAAATGCAGTGGCAGAAATAAGAATAAAAAACTGAGTCTTTATATATGTAGAAGAGTGGTAGTAAATTTTGTTTAGGAGGTAACCTAACTGAACTGATTATTTTGAGAAGGCAAAAATATGGTTAGACACATGAAAACTATCTGATTGGGTTGATACACTTAAATAGTGCAGTGGATGTAGAGAAAAATTAGAGCTGGGAAGACTACATGGGATGCTGTTTTAGAGGCCAAGGCAAGAATATGAATCTGAAGAGGGCAATAAGAAAATTAAGGGAGAAAAGTATATGTATACTTTGAAGAGAAATTGTTTGTGGGTCTTAGACTACAGAAGTAATTCAGTAAAGTGTTGCATAAAATACACAGGGCCTGAGTTGAAATCACAGTTCTACAGAAATAAAGTTTGTAGGTCTTAGATATGTAGAATTTGACAACAAAAAGGGTTCTTAGTTTGTTTTACATTTTTATTTATTTATATGTGTGTGCATGCACGTTTATCTGCACATTTGCCACTAGACGCAAGCGGAGGTCAGAGGACAGGAGTTGGTGTGTCCTTCCACAGCATATGTCTCAGGGATAGAACTAAGATTATATCAGTCTTCACAGCAAGCACTTTTACCCATCTGAGCTATCTAACCCTAGTTGAGATCTTTGGATAAACTTATATGACAAAAAAAAAAATGAGGATCTTGACATCGACGTGTAATGAATTCTTATGTTGTCTGTTTATTTTGAGGAATCTTTGGAGTACTTCTGTGAAAATCGTGAACATTTTAAAATATTTTCTTGAGCTGAGCAAGGTTAAGAAAGCTTCTTCAAATATATAAATGGCTATGATGGTCCAAGGGAAGATTAGTCAAGAGATGAAATCAAAACAAAAAAACCTAGAGAAGTGTTGCGTTTTAAAAAAAGAAACAAAGGAAGGAAACTGAAAAACATGGTATATTGATTGAAAAAGAAATTCGGGAGAGAGTTTGTGCTGTGATGAGACAACTGAGAAATGAGCATACTCTACTAATCAGGGTTAATCAGCCTTTTGTTTTTTTCAGAATCTCACAATGTGGTCCTGATTGGCCCAGAGCTCACTGTTTAGACCAGGCTGGCATCCGACTCAGAGATGTACCTTGGCACTCTCTCTACCTCTCGAGTTTTGGGCTTAAAATACACCCTGCCCATACTCTTCAAAAAAACAGGGAAAACTAGAAATAATGTTTGCTTTTTATAAAACAGGGAAAAAGCAGAAATAGCCCAAATCTTCATTAAGGAATAATACTGTATTTTTAAACTTGTTACAAGTGAGAAGATTTAAACCATGTCTCAGTTAACAGGCTACACAACATGAGGAAATGTATTAGAGGGTCTCAGCTTATGAGAACCACTAGTCCAAAGAGTAGCTAAAGAAAGACATGAAATGATAGAGGATGGAATTTTGTCACTAACAGCTGGATTTAGAATATGAACAGTTAATTTGTAGTAACACATGCAAAGTGGAACATGGGGATACAAATGCTAGGGATAGAGAGTTAAAGTTCACAGTTTTCTCATTTGTCTCAAAGAAGGACTCAAGGTGCTATGCTAAGATAGAAGAGACTGAGGTTACATATTAAGAGAAAAAAAAAACGTACAGAAATTTCTCTTAGATATCAGTGCAATTTATGCCAAGATTGTGATATATAATTGTCTGGTGTCAGTAAGGGTCATCTTGAGTTTTTTGTGGTTGAAATTTAGTGTATTTATTATGTTTTTTTAAATCTGTATTGAGCTTAGGTATAAACAGTTAGCAGAATATTGAAGTCAGATTTCATTTTACTAAAGAACAGTAGGTTGAGAAGTAATAGTAGTAAAATAGCCTGAGAAGGAAGTATGTACAATATTAGTAGTAAAAAAAAACTATAAATTTTGTTCAATTAAGATGACTTAAGTAATTTTTCTTTTTTGTTGTTGTTGTTGTATTTTTTTATTGTTGTACCTAAAGGCATTGACAAGACTCCATCAGCTGAAACTTCTAGGTCATACTTTAGTTGTTGAATTTGCAAAAGAGCAAGATCGAGTTCATTCCCCCTGTCCCACTTCAAATACAGAGAAAAAGAAAAGGTTTGTGGATATTCATGTTTTACTCCCATTTTGAAAAGTGCCTTTGTGCATGTTTGTCTAGTCATTTTTATACTTAACTGCATTGTTGATTGACAAAATAAGTGGGAAGGCTTAATAAAATGTAGCTCTAGTAAATCTGTAAAGTAAAGCAGTATTTCTGTTTCTAGTTGTGTTGAGGACTGAGTCTTGAGAGATAATAGATAAAGAAAAAAGGAAGTAGAGTGGATGGCATTCTACTTTAGTGGAAGGGCAACTAAAGGTTAATTATCCATTACCTAAAATGTGTGGGATAAATAGTATTTTATTTCAAATATTTACAAATGCATGATTAATTAGCTTTGAAATGTTAATCCCAACCCTAAACATGGAGTTAATTTTTTTCTAATTTTTTTTATTACTTTAGAAATAATACCATTCAAACTTTCCACTTCCTCCCCTCCTCCCACTTTCCTCATGCTCCCTCATCCATCCCCTTCCCTTCCAGTCCCAAGAGCAGACAGGGGACCCTGCCATGTGGGAAGTCCATGGCCCTCCCCCCTTCATCCAGGCTTAGGAAGGTATGTATCAAAATAGACTAGAATCTCAAAAAGCCAGTACATGCAATAGAGACAAATCCCAGTGCCATTATCATTGGCTTCTCAGTTGGCCCCAATTGTTAGCCACATTCAGAGGGTCCAGTTTGATCCCATGCTCGTTCAGTCCCAGTCCAACTGACTTTGGTGAGCTCCCATTTGGTGTGCTCAGGCACAGTGTCTCAATGGGTGGACCAACCCCTCGTGGTTTTGACTTCCTTGCTCATATTCTCCCTTCTTCTGGTCTTCAACTGGACCTTGAGAGCTCAGTCCAGTGCTTCAATGTAGGTCTCTATTTCTATCTCCATCTGTCACTGGATGAAGCTTCTATGGTGATATTCAAGATAGTCATCAGTCTGACTACAGGACAAGGCCAGTTCAGGCACCCTCTCCTCCACTGCCCAGGATCCTACCTAGCTGGGACATCCCCGTGGACACCTGGGAACCTCTCTAGAGCCAAGCCTCTTGCCAACCCCAAAATGGCTTCCTTAATTAAGATATCTTCTTCCCTGTTCCCATATCCGTCCTTCCTCCATCTCAACCATCCCACTCCCCCAAGCTCTCCTCAACCCTTCCCTTCTCCCTTCTCTCTCCCCTCTCCTCTCCCCCACCCCCATCCCCGTGCTTCCAACTTTTGCTTGGCAATCTTGTCTGCTTCCATTTTCCAGGAGGATCTATATATGTTTTTCTTTGGGTTCATCTTATTACTTAGCTTCTCTAGGATTGCCAACTATCGGCTCAATGTCCTTTGTTTATGGCTAGAATCCACTAATGAGACAGTACATACCATATTCATATCTTTGGGTCTGGGTTATCTCAGGATAGTGTTTTCTATTTCCATCCATTTGCATGCAAAATTTGAGTTCATTTGTTTTATATCTGCCTTGTATATGTTGCCTGAAAGTAATTTATATAATATTTTTAGTGTGTCCCTGTTTTGTGATCTGTTACATGAGGCCACCAGTAGAATTTTCCAATTTGTAACATGTTGCCTCAAACAGTTTCAAATTTCAATAGATTTCAGATTCCAACCTATAGGAATCTCTTTATTAGAGATAACAGGGTATCCTGAATAGGCATGGCTTTTTTTTCCCTTTAGCCTCTCATTTGGATCCTCTCTCTGCAACATGTCTGCCTGTGGATCTTTGCATTTGTTCTCATCTGCTGTTGGAGAAAGTCTCTGATAATGGCTAGATTAGGCACTGATTTATGAATATGGCAAGATATCATCAGGAGTCATTTTATTGACATCTATCTATCTATCTATCTATCTATCTATCTATCTATCAGCTGTTTAATACCAGTAGTGTTTGATTTTACCCTAGATCCCTGGGCTGTCTAGTCTCTGGTTCTTGGTTGCCCAAGTAGTATCAGGCATGGGTTCCCTCTTGGGGAGTGGGCTTTAAGTCAAGTCAGACATGGTTGGCCACTCCCACAGGTTCTGTACCACCGTTGCCCTAGCATCTGTTGCAGGCAGAACAGATTGTAGGTCAAAGGTTTTGTGGCTGGGTTGGTGTCCACGTTTGTCTTTTTGAAGCTTGCAGAGTACCTTAGTGCACCAAAGACATTATAATATAGGGGTGAAGGTTTCATGTAGGTAACAGCTCAATTTCTCCCTCCTTGCTCACTGAGTGTTGTCTTTGACATTGGGACACCACTGTCAGTTTGTGGAAAGTCACCCTTTTTCTTAGCAACAGCCTGGGTTGTTTGGGAATTTCTATGGGACCATGTTGGCCAACAACCAGTTGAGTGTAACCTAGTCCCTCAGCTGGAAGCCTTGTGTGGTGACAAAAGATGGCTAGTTGAGACTCCGTGTCCTCCATTACTGAGGTCTTCATTAAGATCACCTTACATTCCAGGAAGTTTCCACTGCACTAGGTTTCCACACCACCTGCCAATGATCCCCTAGTTCCAGCTGTCTCTTTCCCAACTCTCTCCCTCTACCTCATCTCTTGTAATGTGATTCTTCTACTCTGGTTTCTAGCTGCTCCCAGTACCACCAAATTGCTTCCCTTTAGAGCTCAAGGAATCATGCAAAAAGGTGGAGGAGCCAAGGGAGCTCCTAAAATTTGAAGGACACCACGAGAACACTGCCCACTTAACCAATTAAGCAGGGCCCTTAGGGGCCCACAGAAACTGAAGCAACAATCATGTATCCTGCATGGGTCTGTGCTAGGTCCTTTATATATATGTTGAGGTTGTTAGCTTGTGTTTGTTATACTCCTAACAGTGGGCATGGAGTTGTCTCTGACTCTTTTGCCTGCTCTTGGGACCCTTTTCTTCCTACTGGGTTGCCATGTTCAACTTCAGTATAATGGTTTTTTTCCTTTATCCTTACTATATTTTGTCATATTTGGTTGTTCTCTCTTAGAAGGCTGTTCTTTCCTAATGAGAGGCAGAAAGAGAGCAGATCCAGAGGGAAGGAGCTGGGAGGAGGAGGAGGAGGGGAAACTGTAATCAGGATATATTGTATAAGAAAAAACTCCTACTGATAAAAGCAAATTAAAGAGCAGATTTTAGTTCCAAGACTAGCCTTTGCAGAGTTTCATTACAGTAGTTGACCTCAAAATGGAATATGCAAAAAAAATCTTCATCTTCTAGCAACTTGGCTGAATTGCAGCATCCTAGGCCTTTTAATGTAAAACCTAAATTTATTGGAATCAGAAATTTCAGAGATGAAGGTGAAAGAAGTAAGGCCCTGCAAGTCTCTAATTTTATGCGTAGATGTACATTAAAAAGACTTGAGTTCCCTAATACAGATATATAATATAATGTATGTTTTTGTTTCCTTGGGATCATTTGGAATTGTCCTACCATGTTCATAAACTGACTAAAATCTAAGTGTAGGGATTAAGTAGAGTTTAAGTATGTTCTCCTTTTTTTCTCAGTGGTGCTTGTTTGTGAAGTCTTTTAAAGGTTTTTGTGTTTTTCTTTTTTTTTTTTTAATGAAATTGGTTTTGTAGTTACGTGTTTGACTTGTTTTCTTTTCTATATACAGTTTCGCACTCTTTCCAAAGATAATATCATTTGTGATTCTCTTTGTTCTAGGTCAGATGACATTATGGAAGATGATAAAGAGAAGAAAGAACCTGACTTTTTAACAATAGAAAATGGAATTGCACCAAATCATGGGTTTGCATTTTTGTTATTTTTTATTATTCTGTCTTTGTTGTGTGTATGTGTGTGTACATATATTATACATACATGTTATAAGTAAGATTGTATTTAAAGTCAGCATTTTAGTATGTCATGTATAATTTAATGTTTTCAATTTTGACGTATGAGGTTTTTTTCATTGAATAAGGCATAAGTCTATTAAAGTGTTCAGGTCTGTAAATAAACTCCAATAAATGCTCTGGTAGATGCTGCTATTTTCTTTAAGGTAATAGGTATATTAAGGGAGAAGATAAATACATGACTTTTATCATGTATTGGGCAGTTTTATGGGTTAATAATAGACTATCTAAAGTGAGTTACTGATATGCAATTATTAAAATGTAATAAGCATATTCCTTAATTTATTTTGTTTTTGTAGGCTGACTTTTCCTCTGAATTCATGCCTCAAATATATGTACCCACCACCTTCAAGCACAATCCTTGCAAATATAGTAAATGCTTTGGCAAGTGTGCCCAAATTCTATGTACAGGTATGCAGAATCAACTTAACTTTTGCTTATGAGATAAAGTTTATAACTTGGTACCGTAGATACTGTGCTGATGCTGATACTTATAACATTTTTGTAACATAGGAATCTTACGAATTCCAGAGAGACAGTGTTTTATGTAGTGTTTTTAAATGTAATGGATTGTCACATGCTACTCTCAAGTAGTAACTTCATAAATACAGTGAATGGAGACTGATGCTACATTTGAAGATGTAATTTGTTATAATTGTTACTGAGTATAACATTGGCTTATAGAAATCCTTAAAGAAAAAGTATTGATTCAGTAAATGGTTGAGAACCTTGATAATAATATTACTTCTCAGAATTATAAAATACAGGTGGTATATATTTTCTTTTTTTCTTTGTTTCATAGTCACAGTAAACTGGGCAGTTATATGAGAACATTTTCAATAGATTTTTACACTACAAGACCTTTATATTCTTAGTGTTAGGAATTAAAATCAATGTATTTGTAGAAATGACATATTGTAGGAGGATTAAGGTTCTGAGACACTGGTGCCTTATTTTCTCTTGGTTTAAGAACTGTGAAGGTCAGAGAGTGACTTTGGTTTTTATTGCTTTAATCATGTGTGTTTACATGCTAGGTGTGGTAGTACTTGCCTTAAATTCCAGCACTCAGAGGACAGAGGCAGGAGAATCTCTGTGAGTCTAGATCAGCTTGGTCTCTATAGTGAGACTTTCTCAAAATAAAAGAATGTTTTTCCAGATTTTTTTTCGTATATAAACTATATGAGATTAATCATGACATTAATTCTATGTTACTTAAATATTTTGCTACTTTAAGGTGCTTCATCTTATGAATAAAATGAATTTGCCCACACCATTTGGACCTATTACTGCACGACCCCCTATGGTAAGAAATTCTTAGAAATTTTAGGAACCATGGTTTTCTTTCCTGAGAGGTAAATTTTATCAATTTTGTAATTTCTTCCAGTTTTTTGTTCTTTAATCCCAAGAATCACAAATGATATTATATTAATCTGTAAGTATAAATATAAGATAATTGTATTTAACTGAATTATCTAAAAATTTGTTGTTGTGGTTTTGATCCAAATGCAGGTAGCTTCATTTGGAAATGATAAGTAAGGTTGCTAAAAGTTGTTCAATAATTTACATAGTAGGGTGTCTGTTCTTGAGGTTTTTTCACTGTGATACTGTGTATTTATCAGTAATACTAATGCAATATTATTTTTCTTTTAACATAGAAGTAAACCTGAGTTTTTTTGTAGTTGGCTACTATTCCGTGGACTATTAACTTCCCCTAACTCTATTGTAATACCAACATGTACTCGTTGTTTAGATACTATTACAGTAAGTTATGTCTTGTCATAGCTATTCCATTTCAAATAACAGGGAAGGAGGGGTGTTTGAGTCATTCACAAGACCCAGGTTGTCTTTATTATGTGCCTGTCCATGCTGGTTAGGACATACTGTAGGTCAGAAACAAAGGAAGGGTTACACATCAAGTTCTTATGCTCTTATTCCATGGGGTAATTTACATGGTGAACTATAAGGTATTTTTCCAAGTTTTTGATGGCTAGGGAATAAAAAAAAACATAACTGTTACCATCTAGCAGTCTGCTACCACAGATATTCCCTGAATGTATGTTGAATGTATCAAAGAAGAGAGACTCAAGAATTTATGTTGAATGAGATTCTGTTGATGACGGTTAAGAAGTTATACAAAATAGTTTGTTGTGTAAATATTATTAGTTTACATAGTATCTGTTTTGTTCTTTTAAATAGTATGAGGACTATATGCCATTGCATGCACCCCTTCCACCTACATCGCCTCAACCACCTGAGGAACCTCCCTTGCCAGACGAGGATGAGGATTTATCTAGTAAAGAATCAGAATATGAAAGCAGTGATGAGGAGGACCGGCAGAGGTTTGTGATGTGACATATTTGCTCTAAGAATAAGAATGTGGAAAAGAAAGACATGCTCTTCCTATATTTCATTCACATATACTTATTCAAAATTAGAATGCATTGAATTGTATCCCAAACCTCCCCAAGATCGTGAACATATATATAGTAGTTCAGTGAATACTAGGGTCTTTGGAAAAAGTTTGGATAAAGAATAATTTTTTAGATTTTTTTTTTTGTTTTAGAATTACAGAGTGCAATGGAGCCTCGTTATTTATGGTTCCATATTTATTATTTTGCTTGTTAAATTTTTGTAGCTCTAAAATTACTTTTTCTTTAAAAAAATTGAATTATTTTTCTAACTCATAATTTTTCTTTACAAGGGCTTGTTAATAAGGTGTTTCATAGATATGAGTATAAACAATGCTGAAAAATTTTAGTCACCTGACACATAAGATCCCAAATGAGATATAAAGTAGCCAGTTGCTATTCAACGTATCAGCATTATACTGAAGTACCTGGGAGTTAACATCCAAAAACAAAATTTTGGCTTACAGTTTGGGAGGGTACAGTCCATGACCAGCCATGTTCCCATTTCTTTAGCTCTGTGATTAAACAGTCCATCGTAGCTAAACATAAGACAGCACAGTAGTACTCAGTTTAGAACTCTAAAAACAAAAGAGAAATGAAGAAATCATGGTCCCACAGCCTGTTTCAGAGTATATCCTAAGTAACCCAAGGGTCCTCGGGTTCTACCATATTGGGAAATATTTCATATTCAAATGTTTTAAGCTGCGTCTTTCAGGACAATAAATCACACTTTCTGTTGATGTAGTATTTTATTCACTAATTTAGTGTTTGCCGTGACATCATAGAAGATATCTTCTTAGATAATAAGCATTAATTGGCTTCACATTTTAAACAGCTGAGTGCCCTGTACTCGTCTTCAGAATGATTTCTAGAGGAATCTTACACGTTCTCTACAGAACTTACTTGTTAGTACTGCCAATAAATAACTCCCTTCATTGGTTAGCTTAAGATTCTACATGTTTATTTAAAGATTCTGTAAAAAAAAAAAATTGTGAATTTCTTAGCAATTTCCTGGCATATAATTTAACATTTTCTTAATAAGTCCAAAAGAATCAATGCTTTTTCCTTTGTGAGTGAGGCATGGTGTTGGCCACATGTCACAACTGTAACTCAGTTCTACTCTCCTGTCAGGAAAGCAGCCATGTTTATAGTTGATGAATAGAAGTGGCTGTGTTTCAGCAAAACTTTATGTATATGCAAGAGCAGATAACTAGCTTGATTTGATCCTTGGACCAACACCCACCTTCAGTGAGTAAGTGATGTGAATCTTAACTACACATGAAGTCAGATCTAAAAGGAAGTATTAGTATGAGTCAGGCCTCAAACAGAGATTTTGAAAATATGTAACAATTTTACTAAGCCATTGCCCATCTAAGTAGTGATTTTCCTCTCCATGGAAAAATTAAATTGCAGGTGGGACTCATACTACCAAGTAAGAATAGATAGAATATAGTGGAAGAGAGATATTTAGCAAAGCAGGTAGTGCTTCATAGTAATCTGTTTCACTAAGAGCTAACAGTGCTCTGTTTGGCAGAATATATACAAACACTGGAATACAGAGAATTCCAAGTTGGATACAAAGATTAGTATATGCAAACTGAAGAGTAGTATAAAATATTAATTTTATTAACGATTCCCTTAGATAACTTTAAAAAATTTAGTAAACTTGTAGTGCTATTTAGAAATACTTTAAAAAGTAATTATAGTGATTCTAATTAGAAATGTTGTCATATTCTAGACCAAACTCGATTTAATTTTTATAAGTTTATATTTAGAAATGTCATATGAAATTCTGCCCAAAATTAATCTTGAATCTTAAAAGAGAACAAAACCAGTTTCTAATGCATGTTTTTATTTAATTTTAATAAATAAAGCTTGCCTGGTGATCAGAGTACAGAACTAAGCCACTAGAGGCCAAGGAGTAGTGGTACATACCTTTAATCCCAGGACTCAAGATAGAGGTAGAGGGCTATTGTTTAGTTCAAGGCTACCGTGCACTAAATGAGATTGACTCTGAAGAGAAACAACTCACACAAAGGTGATCCCAGCACTTGGGAATCCACGCCATTTAATCCCATCACTAGGGAGGCGGAGACCAGAGTTATATGGCTGATAGAGCTAAAAGGTCTCTTTGGTGGCTGGCTGCACTGCTTCTCTGCTCCTTCAGCTTTCATGCCCTAATATCTGACTACAGGTTAGTCAGGATTTATTTATTAAAACCAAATAGAATTTGTGCTACGTTTTTATTACTTTCTGGGAACAAAATAATTTTTAAGAAATATATTTAGTTGTCAAATATTTATTAATGTCTTATGTGCCTGGTCTTGCTTTAGGTTAGTGTATTTTTGGTGCATAATTTTGATATTGATGTGTAGTTTAAATATTTAAATGTTTGATTTTTTGGGGAGGGGGGTTTCAAGACAGGGTTTCTCTAGTTTGGGAGCCTGTCCTGGAACTAGCTCTTGTAGACCAGGCTGGTCTCGAACTCACAGAGATCCTCCTGCCTCTGTCTCCCCAGTGCTGGGATTAAAGGCGTGTGCCACCACTGCCTGGCTAAATGTTTGTATTTTTAATAACATTTTTATTGTGTTTGGTTTGGAGACTTCTAGAAAAAGCCCTAGCTGTTTAGCCCTAGCTGCTAGGAATTTGCTATATATACCTGGCTATGTTCTGTTGGTAAATTAAAATAAAAGACAGAAATAATACAATATATTTGTGTATTTATAAGTTTTATGGCATTTTATTTGAATATCTGATATTCATAATGAAAGTTTTTAAATTGGTAATGTAAAATCTGGCCAATATTTTAAAAATAAGATTTAAATGGTACAGGTTAATTTAAGGTGTGAATTTTTGTCAAATCGATTATGTGTGTACTGATGGCTTTAAAGTTAACCTAATTAGTTTTAAATATATTTCTTATTAAAGATAAAAACTATATTCTAGAATACCAACTCTTATTTGCCTCCTCGTTTTCTTAACAGAATGAACAAACTAATGGAGCTAGCAAATCTTCAGCCCAAAAGACCCAAAGCCACAAAGCCACGCCAAGTGAGAAAAAAGCGAAAATTAAAGGACATGTTGAATATACCTTCATCAACTTCACATAGGTAGCTTTATGTATACTTTTGAAATGAAGGTTGTTTGTATGTGCTTTGTGTATTCACTTAACTCAGGTTATTCTTCAGTCTGACAGTTTGTCAATTGATCACTGGTATCATATACAACTTTTCTTCTGTTACAACTCTGGGCAGTTAATGTTTAGTATGGATCTTATTTGGATATTTTGGTATCTATCACAATTAAAAACAGCTCTCAGAAATTTAAGAAACTTGCAGTTAAAATAGACACGCATATAACAAGTTATATCAAAAGGTGGGTGTGGCTAAAAACTAGGCTTTTTTCTAGTAAACAGGTGTAAGTATAAGCATATACTACATAGTATGAAATTTCACAGCAATCAAGTTTTCTAAAGACTTGTATTAAAAAAACTGATCATGGTAGCACACGGTTGGTTGGTTACTGAGTTTCTGTTTGTCAAACTCACAGAGTTTTTAAAATCCATTTGTTTACCAGCAATTGATAATACTCACTATTTATTTCAGATTAGCATCTTTTCTCTTATCAGGCATATTTATTACTTCTTACTAGTGATTGCAGTTTTAACTTCATTTCACTCTTCTGCAAGTTACATTCTAATAGAAATAATCTTATGTATAAATTATGACATCTTAACCTCTTTCTGTGTTGATAGGGCATTTATTTGCTTTTAACTCTTATAGCATTGCGAAATAGCAAAAACACTGTAAGCCACATTTTCTGGTAGCTGTTTTATACAGTAAAAATATGAGCAAATCAGGGCCAATAATAATTACTTAATCCATTATACTCAAGTATTTCATCATACAATCTGTATAAAAAAGTTACTGAGCAGTTAGACATTTTTCTTTACAGAAATCCACTAATTGCATGTAGCTGCTGACTGTTGAGTTGCATACCACATCACTGATTACACAGTGTACAATATATACTGCATTAAAAACACTGCCAGATGATGAGGTATATAGCTGTAATCCTGGCACTTGGGAGAAGGGCGCAGAATGATTAGAAGTCAAAGTAATTCTCTACTATGTAAACCAAGCTTAAGCCTGTCTTAAATTGACTGGCAAAGTAGTTCCCTGGGTAAAGGTTCCTGTGAATAGTGATGATAATTAGGGTTTGATCCTAAATATCCATATGGTGGAAGAAAATAACTCAGTTTGTCTTCTGATGTAAAAATATTCCCTACCACACATGCAAAATACATGTAAAACAAAAAAAAAATCTGCTGTTTAAAATGAATGGTTAATTCCTAACTTTTTCATTTACCAAATGACTTTAAACTTTGAACATCTTTTAATTTTAGTTTCCTCATCTATAAATTAGGTGTTTAATAGTTTCATTACCAACTATTGAGCTTTATTGGACTACTAACTCTAGTCAGTTTGTGTAGTCCCTAAAATGTATAGAATGTTTTATTTGTCATCATGAGCTTCTTAAAGAATATCTGAAGTAATGTTCTTAGAATTTTATTTTAAATTATAATCATATGTTGTGATTGTTTTTTTATTTAAATACCAGTTTGCATCCTGTGCTGTTACCATCAGATGTATTTGACCAACCACAATCTGTAGGTAATAAAAAAATTGAATTTAATATATCTAACAACATGCCAGCGGCATTTAAGAAAGATTTGGAGAAGGAGCAGAATAATGAGGAAAAGAAATCTGGTGAGAGAAATTAGTTATTTCATATACTTTTCAACCTTTTTTAATGTTAAAATAAAATTTTATAGTAGTGTTTGTCAGCTTTACTTAAAGTATGCAGTTGCAGACTGAGATTGTAGCTCATTTGATAGAGAACATACATGGAACTCTGTGTTTAGTCCCCAGTACTTATAAACTGAGCATGGTGATGTAGCTTGTAATTCCAGTGTTTGTGAAACAGAGGCAGGAGACTCAGAAGTTTGGGGACGTCCTTGGCTAATGGTTGGAGGACAATGTGGAATAAATTAGACTTCATCCAAAATGTAAAAAAAAAAAATTATCAAGCATTAACATATATATGGTTAGGTGAGTCTCAATATCATGGACTAACATTTTCAACTCTTACTTCATAAAACTTAAGCTAAGTGGAAAGATTGTTAATGTTGCTTTTTGTTTTCTGGTAATTTGAGATAGGATTCTCTGTGCATACCAAAGCAGGTTAAAACCCATGGAGTTCTCCTTTCCCAAGTGCTAAACATCAAGGCTGTGTTTATTAATTCCTGGCTCTTCTTATTAATTTTTTGCAAGTGATAACATCTCCATGAAAATTAGGGTTTTGCTGATTATCGAGGGGTAGGGAGGTTAATGGAATGTTTGTATCCCCAAATGTATCTTTTGTATTTTTTTTTCCAGACTAACATGTTGACACAAATCTTTTAATTTATGTTGAAAGGAGTGAAGCTGTTTAACAGCATTTTGATGTTGCTTTCTGAAATTCTTATAGCCATTTTAGATTATCTTGAGTCACTCTATTTGGCTAGAATATTATCAGTATTATAATTTAACTAATTGCACATTTAGCTTAACATATAGTTACTACTATTTTAGAGTGAGTAGGATAAACAATCAATTGCTACATACCAATCAATATACACACTCTTATATAATGTTGAGCATTTTCATCAGATTCCCATTTGGTACATCAAACAGAATATGCTAAAGCTTAATTCATTTTCTTTCCTCTTTTTCCCCTAAGAAGCACTGCAAATCAAGCATTTGATTCTTTAGCTGTTGTCTATATCTGCCTTCATGCTACAATAACAGAACTGAAGGGTCAAAACCAAAGTCTTGCCTTGGCCCACAAAACCCTAAAACACTCTTCTTTGACTCTTTATAGGAAAGATTACCCTGCTTCTGTTCTGAAATACTGAGAAACATTAAATTACCAAATGATACTTTTGTAAATTGTAACTAGAAAACAGGAAAAGAAACCTAAAATATGTTTTGAAATATGAAGGGATTTTTGGTTGGATTGTTTTCTTTTTCTTTTTTTTTTTAAGATTTATTTATTTATTATGTATACAGCATTCCTTCCATGTATGCTTGCATGCCAGAAGAGGGCACCAGATCTCATTACAGATGACTGTGAGTCACCATGTGGTTGCTGGGAATTGAACTTAGGACCTCTGGAAGAGCAGTCAGTGCTCTTAACCTCTGAGCCATCCCTCCAGCCCTGGATTGTTTTCTTTTGGTTTTATTTTTATGACTGATATTAATGTTGAACTCTTAGATTCACCAGACACTGAACTTGATGACTCAAATACAGGATTTGGAAAAATCTTCCCCAAACCTAATTTGAACATCACAGAAGAGGTTAAAGACGATTCTGATGAAATGCCTTCAGAATGTATTTCTCGAAAGGAGTTGGAAAAGGGCCGAATTTCTAGAGAAGGTAATATAATGACATAAACCAACTCATAATCCATCTCATATTTTGTATCTCATGTCTTACTGAAATTAGAACTCTACAGGTCATTTACATTCAGATAGACACTTTAGTATCTTTCTAGAATTAGTTTAATGACACTTCTTTCTCTTTTTAAAAACTCACCTCATACTGAGAAGTTCCTTACCATACAGTGTTTGCAGTAAATATTTGGTAATTAGTAAGTCCCACAAGGGTTTAAGTTACATATTGTGTATATAAAAGAGTTGACAAATCATTATCATAGAATATCTAAAGTAGATACAAGGTCATTATTAAAATTCAGTGATTAGAAATCTGAATTTAGGATTTTATATAGCAACATTATTCTTAAAATTGTTTTCATATATTTTAACCATTTTCTATGTGATAAAAACCAGGACTAAGGAAACTACAAAAGAAGCATTTAACTGGGTTATTGTTTTCAGAGCTTTAGACTTCATGATTGTAGAACAAAGACATGGTAGAAGCAACTGAATGTTCATGTTTGTATCCACAAGCTGTAGGAAGAAAGAACACAATAGGAATAATGCAAGTCTTTAGAAATCACAAAGCCTGTTGCCAGTGACACACCTCCTCCTCCAAGGCCACACCTTCTAATTGTTTCTAAACAATTCTGCCAACTGGTGACTTTGTGTTCAAACATAGGAGCTCCTAGCCCCTATTCAAACCAACATACTATGATTTTTTTTTTAATTTTAGTATTTCTTTAATACCTTTCTTCACAATAATAAGGAATTAGCCTTCAATTAATATCTTTGAATATAAAATCTAGTTTTCCAAAGCAGATAAACATGAGGAACCATAAAAAGGTTTGGAGACCTTTGTCTGAAATTTTTGCCTATAAATTTTGAATTCATTATTCCTACATTTGAACATGACAGTGACTAATGATTTGGGAAATGCATTTTAAGCAGAATGGTTAATAAATGGTTTTCATCACATGTTTAGGAGTTTTAGTAAAATGGCTTCTCTTTTATTTTGGTAGAACTCTTCAAATGGACTGTGGATCAAATTTTTATTCTATATAGTTGAGAAATTTTAAGCAAAGGTTCAATTTTTTAAATAATATAATTCATTTTAGATTTTAATATAAATTTATGAAATATTGTTATTACTGTCTGTTAACATTTTCATAAAGCTTATTTTTTGCCGTTTTAGCAGTTACAATTGAATGTTATTTTTAAAATTGCTAAAGGTATTTTAATTTTATATTTTTATTTTGCTTTGTTCTTAAAAAGAAATGGAAACCCTTTCAGTTTTCAGAAGTTACGAACCTGGTGAACCAAACTGCCGAATTTATGTAAAGAATTTAGCTAGACAAGTTCAAGAAAAGGTAAGGTGAAATTTGCAATTTGATTTTGTTGTTTTGCTTTTCCTCCCCTGGTTTTCTTACTTGTCTATGTTCTTCTTACCCTTTTTTATTATTATTAATTTCAAATTCTAGGACCTTAAATTTATCTTTGGAAGATACGTTGACTTTTCTTCAGAAACACAGCGGATAATGTAAGTGGCAGACATAATTGCAAATTGTGTTTTATCTGTTACAAATTCAACATGTTTTGTTATGCTTGTTTTTTTTTTCTTTAGTGCTGAAACTCACATGGTAATTCATTTGTTCTCCTGTGTAAATATCCTTTTATTCGTCTAGAACAGGAATAGATATATTTCTATATAAATGAGCAAATAAAAATTTTTAATATTTTAAATCAGATATTTACTCCAACTGTTCAATTTTTCCTAGTATGAAAGCTTGTATTGACTATATGTAAAGAAATGTTTATTGTTATATTCTGCTAAATAACCTGTATGTACAGGACTTCTGATAAGTTTTATCTGAAACCCTTTGACACTAAAGTATTGTTACTCAGCTTCCTTTTTTTTTTAATTTATTTATTTATTATGTATACAGTGTTCTGTCTGTTTGTATTCTTGCTGGACATGAAGAGGGCACCAGACCTCATTACAGATGGTTGTGAGCTACCATGTGGTTGCTGGGAATTGAACTCAGGACCTCTGGAAGAACAGTCAGTGCTTTTAGCCATCTCTCCAGCCCCATCAGCTTCCTTTTTTTAAATTTATTTATTTATTCATTTATTTATTTTTATGTTGCCTGAGAACTATGAGGAGATCTTGGTTCAATGATTTTATTGGCCCATCTCCAAAAATAGGTTTTCTAGTTTGGTCGGAGCTCTGGATTTGCATTTCTAAAATTGGTTTTAGCTATTTAATTTTATCTTATTTCTAAGTGAAATTAATACTTTTAAAATCTTACCTGCCCTGTATGTCATTTGGATATATTTTATGTTCATATGTATAAGTACATATAAGATATATATTATCAAGATTGTATTTCCAGTATTATCATGCCTATAATTATAATTTGAGGTAAAAGAAAATATGAATTTAGGAAAAGCTATAGATTCCCCCATGACTATTTCTTCTGAGAGAAGTAATGTTGAAAAAAATTTCACTGCAGAAAAATGCAGGTGGATGGTTACACCTGTTTGTGTATGTGTTTGTACACACCCTCCTCTTTATGTGTTTGTGCTTGAGACAAGTATTTTTATTGGCCTGATACTCACCAAGTTGTGAAAATGGGTCGTCTGACTGACCAGTAAATCAGGGGCCATATGTTTTTACCTCCCTGTTTCTGCAATTATAAGCATTACATCACTATGCCCAGTCTTTTCTCTTGTTTCTTTGCTTATTTGTTTGTTCTAATGAGAGTTTATGAGATTGAAGTTGGGCTCTTGTGCGAGCAAAGTAAACACGTTTCTATCTGTACTCTTATGAGGCCTGCCAGTTGATACTGTATGTTTTTTTTTCTTTTGTTTGCTTTTTGAGTTTATAATACTGGATCATGTTTTTGTTGTAGTTTGCAATCTCATTTTTATAAATAGCTTTTTGAAAGAGTTTTATGTCCAAATGTTTATATAATTATACTGTAGAATAATAAGACAGTGGGGGAGTATACTAGGAATAATGTGTAACATTATCCCTATGCTTGGAAGAGTCATTCTTTGTCCATGTACCATTAATAAAATGATAGCTTTGAGTATCTAGCAAATCTTCTATCTACTGTAAAAGTTTGTAAATGTTCATAATAATGTAAATTCAATATTGTAAACCAGTTACTTAATTAAATTAGTTTTTAGCCTTTTACTCTTTTTTTAATCACTTGAGTATATAATATTGAACTCATTGAAAGATGTGTGTAAAAAGATGAATTAAAAATTTTTAGCTTGCTTTGTTGTTAGTATAACTATACTAGAACCCTGGATCATAGTAAAACAAGAAATTAAGAGCTTGCTTTTATCCATGCTAGTGATATAATTTTAAAACAATGAGCATAGCACAATTGTTGCTTGTTAAGAACAATACAAAGGAATATAATTTTGGAATATCTAATTCATATATTTTACTAATAGCTCTGTTGTTACATTGAAATAGTAGATTTTTGAATAGTTAAGACCTTTGACTCATGATTTTAATACTATTTGGTTTTTTTCTTTTACTTCTAGGTTTGATATTCGCTTGATGAAAGAAGGACGCATGAAAGGACAAGCTTTTATTGGACTTCCAAATGAAAAAGCCGCAGCTAAAGCCTTAAAAGAAGCTAATGGCTATGTTCTTTTTGGAAAACCCATGGTGGTTGTATCCTTTTAATCAATCCCTTCTAAAACCCTAGGGTTTTTTATAAGTGGGGTATAAATAATTTCAAGTTGTTATTTATAATAATATCAACATTGTTATTCAAGGTTGAGTTGTTACTTACAGATCAACATGCATTAGCTCAGTCAGGTGACAAATTTCCTTAATCATTATTGGAAAATATTTAACTTTAGCAATTTAAGGGAAAGTTCAGCCAAGTTTATACATTTATTCAGCTCTAAATTATTTTATGTTAAGGTCAAAACATACTATCTAGAAATATACTTGGAGTCACTGAAGGGATTCAGTATAGAGTTACTGTAATTCACATTTCTACTTTGGAATTTCAGTGACCAAAATACATCTATCATTGCACAGCTGTCGTGTAGTAAAATCAAGTTTTAAATTAGTGAGGGTACAGTTAAGAAATGTGACAGTTATAAAGAAGAGCAGATACTTTTTAATTTTTTTCAGGTTGTGAACATTATGCAAGATTTAGGAAAAATTTTAATGCTATTTTCTATTCTGCATTAGATATTAGGACTGTATAGTATATATTTTTATATATTAGATCTTGATAAAAATAGCACTTTCATGTTCACGATGGGGCCCTTAATTTTAATGCATTAGCAGTTTGCTCGATCTGCTAGACCAAAACAAGATTCTAAAGAAGGAAAACGAAAATGATAGGAATGGATAAAGGTAAGTTTGGAGAAAACAGTGAAAGATACGATGGTTACTTGGAGTAAAAGCAAGGAAGCATAAAAGTCTTGTGGATTACTACTATTTAGACATATTATAATTTTTTAATAAAATTTCTGTGTATATAGTCGATTCTCATTAGCTTCAAAATTGTCACTAGTTTGTATGTAACTTTTAGAGAAAATTTTCTGGATGGAATGTATTGGTTTTTACTTTGTATATATTCCTTGCATGATGTTTTTAATTTCTAACCATTGTTGTAATGACTTGGAGAGCTTGATAAAAACAGGTTGCTGGTCCTTCCCTCCAAGATTTTCTGTGTCAGTAGTTCTGAGGTGGGTGACAGGTAGTCCCATTTATCCTATGGTTAAGGAATTTCTCAGCATTTAGTAATTGCAGTACCGAAAGTGACAGTATCTGGGAAGCCAGGACTAATTGGGTATTCTTACTGGCACCGTTCCAGTTGTACAGTCATTGAGTTCGTGAATGACAATGAGGTGATTGCTCTAGGGACCTCACTGAAAACTGAAGGAAAACAGTTACTAAAATGCTTTAGTGCTGTGTATTTAGAATGATCATCAGTTTTTTCAAACATAATTTTGTGGCATAATCTTTTGCAACATAATCTTTTGCAACAGTCACTACTTATGTAAGTGAGTAAATGATTTCAAAGGGTAGAGTTAGAGATTTTAAATTATGTTACTTTGAGAAACGAGTGGAAATAATCCATTCAGGATTTTTTGGGGTGTGAGCTAGAGATATTTTACTTTTAGTTATTGTACTCTTAGAACCTGAAAGAACATGTAAAAATAATTGCTCAAAATTGCTGTAGGGGGGTATCAAAATAGGGAGATTTGCATACTTTTTAATCTCTGTGAGTTTCTTGGAGTATTTAAGCTTACTTTCAAGACAGTCAGATGTCTTAAATACTGTGCAGAAAAAGAATTTTAGTCTGTATTTCAGTAAATCATTTATAAATCTACTGCTACCGATTAGCAAAGAAAATAAACTACATTCTGCTGTTCTTCCTTAGAAGCATTCCTGCGTAAATACTGCTGTAATACTGTCATACAAGTGTATCCTTTCTTGTTGTATCCTTTTTGGGGCAGTGGTTTTGTTTCATTTTGTTTTCTAGAAATGCTTTGTCTACCATCTATCTAGAGTAAGCAATACTTTTTATAATCAAATGAAATATTTCTCAAATTAGTTTTGTAGCTTGAACAAATATTTTACATGTATTTTAGATTGACTGTTTAATTTTCTACATTATCATATAATCAAGGAGTTTGTTCAAGGAAAGTTAGTGAATCAGGTCCCTTACTGTATACATATGCTTTACTACAGAATCTGGTAATATTTCTTCTATATGTGAATTTCCTCAGTCTACTTCAGGAACATGCTTTCTGTTTCATGGTATATCCCATTTAGGTGTTGTTCTAATTTCATTTTGTTGCTATGACAAATACGCTGACAAAAAACAACTTAGGGATGAAGGCATTTATTTGTGTCATAATTCCAAGTTATAGCTCATTGTTGTGGGGAAGGCACGGCATGAACTTAAAGTATAATATCCACAGTCGATCAGAAAGAGAATAAACCCATAGATCCGTTCTTGATTAGTCCTCTCAGGGTCCCCTTTCCTAAGGAACAGTGCTACCCAAAATTGGCTGAGTCTTAACATCTATCAAGACCACGTTATGCCCTCAGGCCAACATAGCCTAGATAGTATTTATTATGACTGTCTTCCCAGGTTATTCGGTGTTGTGTCAAGTTGACAGTTAAAACTATCTAGCACAGTTCTAAATAATATGTTCTAAAATTTGACTGGGAAAGGATATTTTTTCTTTAGTAATAAATATATTGAAAACTAATAAGATTTCTACAAAATTCTCAACAGTAGAGTAACATATCACATTGAAAGTCTAACTGAAATGTCTTTGACAATTGGAAGGATTTTCCTTATTCTTGGTCTTTTCAAAACAAAAGTGAAAAAGTCAAAAACAAAATTTATATATGTGTGTTCAAATTTTGACATACGTATATATAAATTTGAAAAGAATAACAGATAAGACATACTAGACTTCAGATAGCGTAGTCAATTTTTTTCTAGAACTAAGAACAATGATTCCAGGCTGTATGATAACTACTATCTCTCTGAACAATCGGTCTCAAATTTTCCTGCACATTTAAATCCTGAGAACTTTAAATTAGGTAATAATGAATTACCTGCTTTCTAAGAGTTTGATTCTAGTGTATTACTAATGTAGAGAGAACCACCATGGAAGAGTTTCTATGTATAAATATTTCTAGACTCTTTATTATAGAGCTAATAAATAAAAATCACTTGGAATAACTTCCAGTAATATATTTTGAATGGTTCCCTTAGTAATAGAAAGGACCACTGAGAAGTTTAGATGATACTTTGTTAAAGTGATTGACCATTGTATACCAACTTAATAAGGCATACAATGTTATTTTAGTGGTAAAATAAAAATCCTCAACATTTTGTGGGAAATGGTGCTAATATAATTGTGTAAAACTACTCGAAATTCTCTTGTCACCCTAATAGTAGAAGCTTTCCAAAACTGAGATTATAGTCACTTGATATATACAATTTAAATATTTAGATTTAAATATTATAAGTAGCAGTTAATTTTGTTGTATTGACATGATTCACTAATTTTCTCCATATAAGTATTTGGGCTTTTTAAAGTTAATGAATTGAATTATTTTTAATGGATTTTTATGGTGTTTTAGGTTCCTTCTGAATTCTCTGCCTTTCAAGTACTGTGGAACTATGAGAGAAGAAATTCGCCCTCTGGACTATGGAACTGTGCGTAACAACTTTGAAAGCACTCAGAAATCTCATATTTTCACATTAGTGTTTGGAGATACTTTATAATAGTTTATTGCATATATAATAAATTATTTTTCTTCTCAGCAGTGTCCATACTTTTTTATTACTTAACCTATATGGCTAAGGAAGTGTAACTTAGCAATTAATATAAACTAACTAATTATAAAGTAATTATTATAAATTAATTTTTTAGTACTAGCTATACATTTTCCTTTATACTTCCTAATCCTATTTTCCATTCCTACCTATATACAGTGCACTTTTACACATATTTTTTAAAAATATTATTTAGGTAATTATTTTAAGAAGAGTTTCAGTTTTTACTGATACTATTGCCTGCTGTTTTGATAATGGTAGATTTGTCTGTTATAAAGTATTAATATCTGTGATCATTTCTAACCTAGAATTTGAATTTTATATCTTTAAAATTAATTTCTGTAGAAATATTGCTGAAAGTTAAAGATGTTTCTCATAGTTAATTATTTCTTTCACTTGATAAAATTTTTAATAGAAGAATTAGATTTTTTTACAAAGGCTTTTATTTCTCTCTCTCACACACACACACACACACACACACACACACACACACACATATATATATATATATATATATATATATCTGCTCTCCAAAGGCTGGTGCCTTCATTGATATGTCCTTGAGAATTATAATTGTTTCCTTTGTTTTTATGGCATTGCAAAATGGGCAGAATAAAAGAATGCAATATAGGAATTAAGAACCCTGAGACATGCTGATCATGTTTAGCTTGCCATAAACAGAGAACAAAAAGGAAAATCTTGATCTGATGCAGACAGTAGACAAATACAGTAATTCCTCAGTGAGTCACTAACAATGAGTTGTTAAGATTAAGGTTTAGCTGTGCACATGACCTGGATCAGAATGAACTAGTTGGCTGGATGAAATGAGAAATAATATTCAGTCAAATGGAAGAGAAGATTTTAAAAGAAAGTTGAGAGCAATTCATTCAGGTAAATAATCCTTGTATGTTTAGTTGTCTAAAACCTTTTGTTTCAAAATTATATGTGCATATACTGTCTTGCATTATCTCATCCATTCAGCAGATAACTCCTAAAATTTGTCTTTTAAGTGGACAAGAGAAATAAGTCTTTAATGGGTCATTTATTAACAAGTTTTTGTTTTGCTTTTAAGATTGCCAAGGACCAGGATCTATCCCTGGTCCATTCCCTATGGTAGATACCTTGCTTAGCCTTGATGGTGGGGGGAGGGGCTTGGTTCTGCTTTTGTTTAATATGCCAGGCTTTGTTGACTCAGAGGAGAGGCCTTACCCTTTTTGAGGAGGGGATGGAGGTGGGTTAGGGGAGTGAGCAGGAGAAGGGGAGGTAGGGCGAACTATGGTTCATATATCAAATGAATAAAAAATTCAAAGATTGACAAGGAAACTGTGGTAATGGGACTGATTAAAGGAAGAAACATTGTAGAAAGGAAAGAAATATTTCTGAATGAGGAATCTTGCATATTAATAGGATAGTTTTAAAGAGGAAAACAAGTAGCTCATAAAAACTAATACTGTGAAAGGCAAATTTTCAGTCTAGATTTTTTTAGTTTGATAGACCATGTTAAGTTTTTGTTGATATTAATTATGTCAACTTTTATATTTACATGGCAAATGCCTTAGAATATCATCATCCTAAAGGAGGAAAGATTTATTTTGTCTTAAAGTCTCAGAAAGTTGCTGACTCCCATTAATTCTGGGCCTATGGTCAGATAGTACAGCGTGTTTGAAGGCCATTTAGGAACGAATTGCTACATTGCAGCAGACAGAAACCTTAAAGACAAAAACTTGGAAAGACCATGGCAAGAATAATCCACAGTGATCAATTTTTTTTTCATATAGGTCCCCTCTAAAAAATTTATAGTACTTCACAAAATAGTGAACTAAATGTTTAAGTTCTGCCTAAGTGCTGTCCTTGAATACAGGTTCAGGGTATGAGTTTAATCAAAGATGAGATTTTCCTAAATGAGTATAACAAAAGCTGAAAAGGAACAAGGGTCTTGAACTTAAGAAGGATAGTCCAAGGGATAGAGTGAAGTAGAGGTTGAGACACGTTGGGTGATGGCACAGGCCTTTAATCCCAGTACTCCTGAGGCAGGCAGATCTCTTGGGTTTGGAACACCGGTCTACAACTTTAATTCCATGATAGCCAGAGCTATGGTGGTAAACCCTGTCTCAAAAAGCAAAAACAAACAAACAAAAAAGATTGAGACTGTAGAAGTCAAATGATAGTATTAGAAATATCAAATAATTAGCAAAAAATATATCAAGTAGACCCTACAGTGAGAACTATTAAACATTTCAGGAACAAGATGTTTATTAGTTATTCAAATAAAATCAAGGTCTTAATAAGATACTGTACAATGGCATTTTAAAATTCCAAAGACTGGCAAATTAAATATTATGAATAGTATGCAGAAGTGCCACTGCTCTTTGATGACTTCATGTATTAAATGTGGTTTTTTGATATACTATGTACATTAGTCCGAAGACTTTTTTGTTGTTTTTTTCCTGTGATTCATTCTCATTCAAATATTAGTTAGATACTGTGTTTATGCTGACAGAATAACTTAAATAAGTCCAAAAGTCATCCACATGACTTTTTTCAGAATAAAAGATATAAGTAATAAAATTTCAGGAACTTATTTCACATATATTCAGTCAATTGGGACTTTGACACAGTGAGATGCCTATTCAGTAGACATAAAGTTGTGTTTTGGTGTTTTTAAAATACATCTATGCACAAATGGAATATTTGAACACCCATATAAAAAACATATCCCTCACACAAAAACATATTCAAGAGATGGTGCCTATTGTAGAATGGAAAACTAAAACTTAAAAATACGAGATAAAATCACTGACTCCAGTTAAGCAATGGGTCATACAACACCAATTGTTTGATTCATTTAAGATGTGGATTTTAGACAGTAATTTTGCATTGCAAAAGCACTTAATAAGGAAATGTAATTGATATAGAGAAAAAAATTTTTGTAAAGCATACATTTCATGGCAATTTTATTTAAAACATAAAGGAATCAAAATAGGAAAGAACAGAAAATGGGCAACACTTACAAAACTGAGGAACAAAATTGAATAGACACTTAACCCAAGGGCTAATTTCAGCAAGTTAGCACGCAATGTTTCTAAACATCACATGCCTTTGGAAAATGTAACTATAAAGGAAACAAGCTTAAAACTCACAGCATTTTCAAAATTTTTGTGAAGGCTGACTCTAGGATACACAAGTCATAACTACTCAATTGAAATGTAGATGAAAAAGTTGGGTGTAAAATTATTTGAGAGTTTGGGACACTATAACTTTATTCTATATTATAGTTCTCTTTATAAAGGTACTGTATCAAAACTGTAGATCAAACAATATTTTAATATGTATATACATAATAAAGTTCATTTGTCCTGTTCTATGCCTTTTTTGATTTGTGTATATGCTTGTATTAAGTAGTATAGAGTTTCCCATGATAACCTTTGATTTGCCTTGGGTATCTTTATCATGAGATACCAAGCTTATTAAAATAATTTTCTCCGTCATTTAAAGTAATTTTAAGTATACCTTTTAAGGATTTTCTTAATCTGTGATTTATTTTATATATGAAGTATCTTCAGTTTTGGCAGACTGATCACTGATTTTTATTTTTGTAAGCCCATTTGAGGATATTTGTCGTTACTTTGCTATTAATAGGAGCATTTTGCCTGTATCTGCAGATGTCAATGCAATTTTTTTGTTCTTAATTCTTTCCTTTCATACCTCTCTGAACCATGATTTCCATATTAATAGGTGTGAACTGTCCACATAAATTTATAAAACATCTGTTACTACTGCTACTTATTAAATGACATAAATCCACAGTTTCTGTGTGACAAAATTTACAAAGTAATTTCTAATATAGAACATATGTCATTTATGGGAAAAATATAGCAGTGTCCTACTTTTAATTTAGAAAAAGTAAGGAGTTATAGTTTACCAAAAAGAATCACACTTATTGCTCTAATGTTCCCCAACTACTAAATTTCAGAGAGAAATTTATACTTAACCTAAATTTTATAAGGAATGAAAGGAAAATTCATATATCTTCTGTCTACCACTGCTTTAAACATAGGCACTGCCTTAGAGTAAAAGGGTGGATAACGATGGGAGTAGGAAGCATGTAGGTGTTGCTATCCTTTTATCTGACAAATAGACTTCAAACTATAATCAGGAAAGATAAAGAAACTTCATTCTAATTAAGGTCACAGTTAATCAAAAAGATACTACTGTCCGGAACATATTTGCACAAACTCTTTGGTACCTAATTTCATTAAAAACATACAAGTACTGAATTTAAAGACAAAGATTAATACTAACCCATTAATAGGTGATTTCAATTCCCTTCTCCAAATGACAGATCATGTGGAAAAAAATAAGCATATTAGACTTAATTGACAAAAATCAAATGGACTTGACAGATGCCTACAAAATAATTTTACCCAAACACCAAAGAATGTATATTCTTTCCAGCAGCACATAGAAACATTTATAATAGACTACATCCTGGGACAAATTGCTATGAATTCAAAGATAATGAAATGATTTATTTGGCAAAAGTGCAATTAAATTGACAGCAAACATCTGTAATAAATGCATTTTTGGAGATTAAACATTACCAAATGATGAGTGTAAAAAAAGAAATCAAGAAAGCAAAGGTTTCCTGGAACTAAATGAATAGAAGTAGAACCTCAGGGATACATTGAAATCAAACTCATAAGAGAAATTTATAGCTTTACATATTTACATTAATTCTGTATTCAAAATAGCAAATGGAAGCAACTGAAATGTCTTTCAATCAAGGAGTCAATAA